GCGGTACTCAAGGAGCTGTGTTATTTACACAGTCCTCCTCGTGTCTGAAGCAGACAAGAAAGCCACATAATTAACAATTTTTCGAAATAAATTTACATGCAGCAGTGAGAATTGACTTATCTTCTGTGTTCATAAGCCATATCAGTTTATCTCTTGCGTTAAGAGTTAAAAAGTTGGGGCAACTTTTAGTTATCTCTTGAAATAGATGAATGCGGTCATCATTAAATTTAACACAATGAAATAGAAAATGATATTCATCCTCCACATCTCCGGAGTTACAACGAGTACAAGTTCTGTCATTTAGGAGAGTACCCTGATACCTTCCGGACTCAATTCTTAAGTGGTGTGATGAAATTCTGAGCTTTGTTAAGCTTCGTCTCTGTTCAAAATTCCTTATAATGGAAAGATATTTTTCTCTTCCAAAAACTGATTTAAATGTAACATAAGTTCTAAGTTTACCATCTGAATGCTTTACCAATTCAGTGTTCCACAAGTCTATAAAATATGATTTTAATTTTTTTTTCATATTAGCTTTGAAGCTATTAATTTTTGGTAATGGTAAAGATATATGATTGATGTCTGGGATCATTTCAAGAATTGACTTCATAGAGCCATATCAAGATGGTTTTTTGAATGAGAAAGATTTTGTGATGTTACATAAGCATCTTTAAGAAGAGAAAATGTGGAATCAAGATTTTCCAAGCGATACCAGTAATTTAACATGGATTTAATCATATCATAATATAATGGGAATCGCCCTAGCTCAGATAAAATTCCAAAATTCGTGGATTTTTTATGAACACCTAAAACAAGTTTACAAAATTTGATATGTAGTCGCTCACATTTTAAACTGGAATAGATTTTATCAAATGGTAAAGTTCCATTTCTGAATCTTGCTGAGAATGGATTAAAAGTTCCCCATATTTCAAACCCATATAGGAGTATTGGTTATATGGTATGATCAAATACATGTAAGCTGGTACTTATGCTTGGATTAAGTGATAACAAATTCTTGTACAATTTATAATAAGCCTTCAAGGACTTTTTAAAATATACAGTTCATTCTGAGCATTTGAAAATGACCCTGATGCACTAAAGTGCAAACCAAGATATTTATAATTATTAACACTATCAATCAACATATTTTCATAAGTAAATTTTTCACAAATGTGTCTGCCTGCTTTGTTGAATATCAGAACCTTTGTTTTGGTGGGATTTACACTTAAACACCAATCTTTACAATATTTTTCCAGAATGTTTAGTCTTGTTTGCAATCCTTTAGCAGATGTTGATAAAAGGACCAAAGCATCTGCATACAATAAGCAATTAACTGGTTTCTCATTAAAGTATAACAGGGTCTTCACTTTCTTGTAAATACTCTGGCAAGTCATTTATAAATAACTTGAATAGATTGGGACTTAAATTGTCCCCTTGTTTAACTCCAAGTTTTATCTGGAAAAAATCTGTTACTCTGGATTGAATCTTAAGACAAGATTTACTTGATTCATACATGTGTTTAATAACATTATAAAATGAAGTACCCACGCCCGCAGATAGTAATTCTAACTTAATACCAGTACGAATGACTGTGTCGAAAGCTTTCTGAAAATCCACAAAGCAGGCATAAACCTTTCCATCCTTTGAATTACAATTTTTATCAAAAATACATTTAATAATAAACATGTGATCTGAAGTTCTAGCTTTTTTTGTAAAACCTAATTGACATTCATGAATTAAGTTATGTTTCAATAAAAAATCATCAAACCTACTATTAAGTACACTATTAAACACTTTTCCAATGGCACTGGTCACTGTGATTCCTCTATAATTGTTAGGATTTGCAATGCCACTAGATTTGTGAATTGTTGAGATATAACCATCACTCCAACACTTGGGATAAATTCCAGAAGAAAGACATGTGTTAAAAAGTTGTTTAAGAATAGGTAATAGAATTGATTGACCATGTTTTAACATATTGTTTGAGATGTTATCCAACCCTGGGCTTTTGTTAGGTTTTAGTTTAGCTAAAGCTTTTGATATTTCAGTGTCTTTTATGGACATATCAAGCTTATTAAAACATTTTACTGTCTCTAATTTATCTACCTGTTTTTGTAATTCTTCCAGGCGTGCCTTGAATTTATCCTGTAAAGTATTCAGATTTTGAAAATGTGAAAACCATGCAGATGAATCAATTGTAGAATAATTGTCTTCATGTTTTTTGGTGTCCTTCAAGTCATTTATAAGGTTCCAGTATAGTTTTGGATTGTCTGCGTGTAAATTTTCTAATTGATTAAGCAAGGATTGTTTGTATTGTCTGTATGTTTGTTTCCTTGTTTTATTGTACTGACGATAAAGTTTGTAAAAATGATTTTTAACAAGTGGGTCTTTTAGATGCTTTGAGTATATTTTCCCATAATTTAACAGATGTATTCTCATATTTTTTTAGGTCCTTGTTAAACCACTTTTTGTGTTTTTTTATGTTTTTTACTGTTTATTTTTTTGTCTTTTTAAAGATTTGAATGCAGCTTAGTGTATAATATTACTAAGCTCTCTGCATGTGTCATCAACTGAGATTTGTGAGTTGTGTGTTGTCTTATTGTTTAACTTGTGTAATTGGGTTTGAATGTCAGCAGAGCCCAGTACCATTAGAAAGTACAAGAATGCACACGCTGAATTGTCTCGCCTGTTTTACTTATCATTGAGTTCATGTTGAAAGTCTGTAATATGAATGTTTTACTACAAGTATCATATAAACCTAACATTATCAAGGTTCTATGAAAATGAGGTTACAGTACTAAGATGAACCATGCCAGACAGACATGTACACCTTACAATCATTCCATACACAAAATATAGTGATCCTATCACTAATATTACTTGAGAAACAGAATAAACCGCAAATCTAAAAATTGACCAATGAACCATAAAAATGAGGTCAATGTCAAAGAACCCTGCCAGATGGACATGTGCACCTTACAACCATGCCATACACCAAATATAGTTGACCTATTGCTAAACGTATCCGAAATACTAACAAAATTGTGAAAACTTATCATCGACCAATGAACCATGAAAATGAGGTAAAGGTCAATTTACCTGTGCACGTTGGTTTATTTAACGCCATTTTGTCCCAGGTTAGAGTTGTCTTTTGACCCTGTTCCTATATCTTTTTATTATATTGTGTCATAGATCAAACTTATTGGTTCAGTGTATGTTTCCTTGTTTTTGTTTAAATGTCTTTTTGATCGAGTTGAGCCATTTCAATTAATATTTTATGGGTTTTCTTTGTGTTGTAATGTTCACTACTGTCTCGGGTTAGGGTGAAGGTTGGGGCTTGTTAAAACGGTTAAACCCGCTGCATTTTTATATACCTGTCCTAAGTCAGGAGCCTGTTGTTCAGTGGTTTTCGTGTGTTGGTGTGGTTCAAAAGTGTTTCTCGTTTCTCTTTCTTTTATATAGATTGGACCGTTGTTTTCTCTGTTTGAATTGGTGTATACTAGTCATTTTGGGGCCCTTTATAGCTTGTTGTTCGGTGAGAGCCAAGGCTCCGTGTTGAAGGCCGCACTTTGACCAATAATTGTTAACTTTTTATACACTGTAACTTGGATGGAGAGTTTTCTCATTGGTAAACATACCGCATCCTCTAATTTATATGTACACCTTATATTCATTTCATACACCAAATATAGCTGACCTATTGCTTACAATATCGGAGAAATATACCAAATCACAAAAACTAAACAGTGTCTAAGGAACCATGAAAATGAGTTCAATGTCAGAAGAAAACTGAAAGACGGACATACTGTAAATTCAGAAATTATTGCGATGTTTTTATTATTGCGAAAATTGCGACTGGGTTATAATCGCAATTATTTAAACTCGCATTTTGAAATTTTTTATATGAATTAAATAGGATTTTTCTCAATATCGCAAAAATTGAAATCGCATTTTAGTCTAAATTGAAAAAATCGCAATAAAAAATGCACGCAATAATTTCTGAATTTACAGTATACACCATACAATCATTCCATTTGACATATATAGTGCTTAGTATCTGAAAAAAAAACCCAACAAAAATAGACATTTTCCAATGAACTTTGAAATTGAGGACAAGGTCAGGTGAACCCTACCTGACGGACATGTAGACGTTTCAGAGAACCCATATACCAAATATAGTTTAATATTCATATTAGCGAGTATTCAAGTATTGTCACTTGACATTTTTTTTTCAAGCAGTCACTGAACCATGAAGATGAGATCAAGGACAATGGGCATATGACAGAGGGAAACCTCATACCATAAGATATCTGCATACAAGGTTTGAACCATCCGGGTATTCTGCCTTCTGAAATATAAAGCCGCCGCCCCAGATTGTAATATCCCTATGTCTCTCTCGCATTCTACGACTTTTGCAGGCGAGACAAAAAGTAGAAAGTCTAGATCAGAAAGGAATCTTAATTACTTCATTAGCCAAACAACGAAACAGTGGGAACGCAGTGGTGGATCCAGGGGGGAGGGTCCAGGGGTTTCAACCCTCTTTTTTTGGACGATCAATGCATTTGAATGGGGACATATGGTTGGAACCCCCCGCCCCTTTTTTTAAATTGCTGGATCCTCCCCTGGAACGTCCCTACGCGAAACTAACAACACTGCAACCAGGAGTTCGCATCATCAGGTCTCATCAATATCTATTTAAAATAAGAAAGTCAGAAACATCCAGAATATTCATTTCTTCAATAGTCGCACCCAGAAACAGTTGGGACGCGATATGTGAAATTTAAACACTGTAACCGGAACTTCGTATCACTTGGGTTTCATCGATACAGATCATTTCAAAAAGAAATCATACGATCAGTTAGAAATCCTTACTCCATTCATATGTCAAATTCCGAAACATTAGGGACGTCGCAACACTTAACTTACACCACAGACATTAGTAACCAGCACTTCGTATCACTCGGGTATCATTATAGATAGACCAATAAAATAAGAAAGTCAGAAAAAGTAAAAATCTTTATTTCTCTAAAAGTTTTTACATTTTCTATTTAACATTCACTTCAGTTACTGGTAGAAATATTAATATATGAATGCCCTGCATTAAAATTATATTCAATAATAATTATATATAAGTAATGAATGCCCTGCACTAAAACTAGGATTAAGTAAGATACGAATGTCACGCACTAAAATGATGATCAATTGTTTGAACCGCTTTGTATTACAAAGAATGAACAGACGAACAGAACAGTTTAGTTACATAGTTCAAAAACACTTCACAGAAAAAAAAAGTTCCGCTTGTCATATTGACCAAAATAGCTTTCGGGGTCCTTTAATAACTGACAATACTCGGTATGGATTTTGTTCATTATTGAAGGTCGTATGATGACCTATAGTTACTAAAAGCCATTTGGTCATTTGGACTCTATTTGATAGTTGTCTTATATGAAATCATACCAAATCACATTTTATTATATAACTGAACAGCGTTCGTAAGCGCAAACATTGAGAACAGCACTGGTGAAATATCGTGGATAGGTTTTTGTCCCTTGCTTTATGATTACCCTAAATATGGGTTGGTGAAATATACCCTATTGTATCTGTACGTTGTTATATTATAAGCGATTGCTTGCATATATGATAAAAAAAATGTATAGAGAAGGACTAACAAACAGACATGTAGATTCGATTCTTTAGTTACATTAACGTCACAGAAATTATACTGGTGGAAGACCACATTTGATTTTCTTTTGTATGTAAATCTTAATGTTATATTTGTAATGATCTGGATAGAGACTATTGGACCAATTTTACAGAAAAATAGACCAAAAAGATAAAGAATAGAGAAGAATATTCCAAAAATTAAAGAATAGAGAACAATGGCCTATAGATTGAAAAATAGAGAAAAATTTACTTAAAACTATAAAGAATAGAGTTAGATATATCAAAAAGTTAGAAAATATAGAATAATGAGGTGCTGAAATATAAAGAATATAAAACAGATGGGTGCTATAATATAAAGAAAAGAGAAAAATAGGATGCTAATGTTACAGTATAAAGTATAGAAAAAAATGGCCTATAAATTAAAATATTACAGAAATGAATATGGTCCCCCAAATTCAGACCCCCTCCCCCTTGTCGAAAACTATGCAAAAAAGCTTCCAATCACACGAAATAAAGGAATTGAATTGTCACTCCGTTGACTATTACATGACTTCTTAGTCTTTCAAAAAAGTGAAAACTAAATGATGATACTCTTAAAAAACAACGCAAAATATTCTTAGCACCTATCAAATTATTCAAAGGATAATATATTATCCAGGCATATTATCCAGGCCAATCTATATAAAATAATTTACTAACCAACTAAGATATATTATGATATATAACAATGCATACTAACAGTAATAAATGTCAATTTATACCTTTTCGGTAAAGAAATAATCCGCGCGGCATGTCTTGGACGGTGTTAAAAAATATAATTAGACCAGATCAAATATAAAATGACAATAAAAGTTTTAGTCTTATAATTTCCAAACGTCTGTATCCCCATAACAAGGCAAAAATATCTATATGGATATTTCCCGACCTATATAGGTGTGTGTCAACCCCAAAAAACTTCTAACAATATACTGGCAAGAAATTGTGTCTGTTTAATAGCACCATAGACACGATGTTCTCAAAGTGAAATGACTATCCATTATAGACACGATGTTCTCAAAGTGAAATGACTATCCATTATAGACACGGTAATGTTTTAAAAACAGATAAAATAATAGAAAATAAAGTAATTAATACTTGATAAGTTCAAAGATATTCAATGAAAGCAAGGCAGCCTCAGAAGCAGATACAGTATTTTGAAAAAGAGGGCCCCAAAACTAGAGGACGTTAGGAGAAGAAAAGGTGCATAATATATGCATTACCTATATATGTAGCTCCGTAAGGGAGTTGCCCAGGCCACCTTTCCCCTTAATTCGCCTCTGAGCCTCGTGAAGATCGTAAAATATTAAAAATTTCATTGTGTTATGGATTTTATTTTGGTCTAAAGAGCAACAAAGCGAACCTTGTTTCTCGATCCTGAAGAAATGAAAATGGCTGAATTTAAAAATAGAATAAGTTAAAAGAAACAACAATTTATAATCAGACACTACAATTTACCCATAAAACCATCTGAAATTTCATAAAAATAAAATGTCTCAAAACTAAATATTCCGCCTTTTTTTTAGCAAAAACAAACTCGTTGACAGATGGACAAGCTCTATACAGAACTACGTTATCATGTAGACCAAAAAATATCTCTAGATCTAATACACAGTATAAATAAAGCTGTACAGAACTAACATTCAAACACGTCCCGATTTTATATCTGTAGTGTTTTTTGCTAATAAAATATAAAAAGAGTTTGGTTAAATAAATCTATCGATAAACCGATCATTGATGACCTGCCGTCTTTTTATTTTTCTTAATTAAAATACACATGTTCTAACTTTCAACACAAAAAATACATTGACCTGGCATATCAATAGATCAAAACTACAAAGCATATAAAATTATACTGCACAAACAATGTGCATTGCAATAAAAGTTTAAATAAAACTTAACTTGATACAAGCTATGGACACCAACATATCACCAAGACAACCTTACAAAGGTGCCAACCATTTATCTTTTGTGGGTGGCATGGGGTTTTTCTCGTGACAAACATTTTTTTTTCGAATCTATTCAAAACCAAGCTAAAATATTACAGTCATTTTTTATAATTAAATTCTAAATTCCATTTTTAAGGAGAAATCGTGAAAAAACGTTTATAAAAACGTGTTACATGTACTTTCCAAAATTATTCTTAATTAACACACAGGAACAAGTTCTGTGGATTTTTGTTATACTCAATGTCGGTATATTTTGTTTTACCAAACTTTTTTTTTTTAATTCTCCCTTTTAAAACATTTTTAAAAAGAAATTTAGGGTCAACAAATTCGTTTAAATAAAACCAGACCCCTTACAAAAGTAAAATGGTCGGTGCTATGGATTTCATGCGTTGGAATCAGCTACCCCTACACAAGTTGAATGGTCGGTGTCTATGGAAGCAGAGTCCACTACAAAAATGAATGGTCGATGTCTATGGATTTCATGCATTGGAAGCAGCAGTAGGACTTAGATATTCGTCATCGTCGGCGTGTAGCTTGGCCTCAACAAGTCCTTCCTTTGTATAACGCTGCCAAAGTTTGCTTACAATTTCTGATGCTATAACTTGATTTGTCTTGTTGCTAAGAAACCAAATAAGAAACACACCATCATGGCGAAGATATTCCCGCACAAATTCTTTCCTAACTTCGCCATAGCGCGGTGATTGTTTCTCATTAATTCGACCAGCGCGGACGCCTTCCATTTCCATGAACTTAGTGACGTAATTATCAGTCCGGTAAGGTAAAAATATGGAAATTAGATTGTACAAAAAATTTGTTGAATTGATAATGACCATGGAAATTAACATCAACCAGTTACAAAAGAAAAGTTTCTCGTTAAAGAGATTAATTGGAAGAGAGCATTGCACTGTCCATGTTTGGACATTTGTCATCTGTCGGACATCTAAATCACAGAAAGTAACACGTGGGAAACGTTCCAGGTCTTCAAATTTCCTTCCTTTGAAAATCATCGCTAAAAATTCAAATCCAAGATTTTTAAAATCGTTTCCAAGAAATATATCAACCATTATAATCTGGACTGCGGCCGTCATTATGTATAAGAATGACGTCACCATGAACAAAAATACCAGGTAGTTACCATAGTGAAGTCCAATTCGCGACATTTTTTCTTTTGCAATTTCCATTTTATGATGTGGCGACGAAATGGTATTTCTGATCTTTATATACTTGTGAAGATAGGCGACAATGTCGTCCAATGATTTGTCTCTTTCTTCTCCTGTCTGATATCCAGCGCTGGCGGCCATATTTAACATCTTCTTAATATTCAATAACGTATAACCTCCAAATCTTTTCCAAAACATTCTGGGTAGATAGAATAAAAGCGCTTGGAAGACTAGGATTAAGGGTACCCACTGATAATATTCAATCTCTTTATTAACTCGGATTTCTTTTTCTAGCGGAAGACTACTTTCAAAGTCTACGTAATACGTGTTTGACACCCAGCAATAGTTGTTGGTGTATTTGACATGAGCACCCGTGAACATGGCTGGACACCAACACTGTATAGGATTTCCGACATATTGCTTACTACTGACCAGCATGGCTAGAATGATCAGGAATACTACACAGTATAACCTATTCAACAAATGTATACTGGAATCATCTGTGATACCAACTTTAAATATCCTGGTCCCTTGTTTCTTGAAGTTTTCTATCCTATAAAAGTGTAAAGAAAAATGTAATTAAGAAGCGTCTTGGATTCTAAAATTTGCAGCGGAAAACAATACAAGAGGACAGAAAAGTCAGTACAGTTCACATTCAATTTCTTTATACAGGATGTGTTTTGTTTTGCAAAAAGATCAAAGGAGCAGCGCTGTAATTGCTGTTCTTCGTCACCAGGATCTGTCAACACGGAGCAAAATCTTTCAACTCACTGCAATTTCATTACGGTTGTCTGTCGGTTTTTTTTAACTACATTTTGTATGTAAACTACAGTCGTCAAAGCACAATAAGGGGTCGCGGGACTTTATTTAGGTACATCTACATTTTGTAAGATATCAAAAGTATACAAAGGAAGAGATAATTGCAATGAAACAATGTTGATCAAAGTATGCTTGGAAATATATATAAACTTTATGATTAAATAAATATAAAATATGTTTAAATATTTAGACTTAAAATTTTGCAAAAAAGGGTATTCCAATTGTACTCACATGAACGTGGCCATATCTATATTATTTTATATAATATGACCTTCAGCTTTTAAAACACAACTTGCTTTGACATTTTGATAATTTGCCAAATTATTGTTGTTATGATCACAATAAACAGAATGAACTAGGTCGACAAAATTAAAGGGAGAAGGGCTTATTTACCCAGAGCTAATGGAAAGGTCGACAAAATAAAAGGGAGTATGTCTAATTTACCCAGAAATAATGGAAAGGTCGACAAAATCAAAGGGAGCAGTGCAATTTACTGAGAGCTAACGGAAAGGTCGACAAAATCAAAGGTCGTTAGCGCCAATTTACCAAGAGATGATAGAAAGGTCGACAAAATCAGAGGGTTAGGGCCAATTTACCCAGAGCTAATTGAAAGGTTTACAAAATCAAAGGGGTAGGACCAATTTACCCAGAGCTAATGGAAAGGTCGACAAAATAAAAGGGAGTATGTCTAATTTACCCAGATATAATGGAAAGGTCGACAAAATCAAAGGGATCAGTGCAATTTACTCAGAGCTAACGGAAAGGTCGACAAAATCAAAGGTCGTTAGCGCCAATTTACCCAGAGATAATGGAAAGGTCGACAAAATCAGAGGGTTAGGGCCAATTTACCCAGAGCTAATTGAAAGTTCGACAAAATTAAAGGTATAGGACCAATTTGACCAGGGATAATAGAAAGGTCGACAAAATTAAAGGGGTAGGGCCAATTTACCCAGTGCTAATGAAAAGGTCGACAAAATTAAAGGGGTAGGACCAATTTGACCAGAGATAATGGAAAGGTCGACAAATTTAAGGGGGTAGGGCCAATTTGACCAGGGATAATAGAAAGGTCGACAAACTTAAAGGGGTAGGGCCAATTTAAACAGAGATAATGAAAAGGTCGACAAAATCAGAGGGTTAGGGCCAATTTACCCAGAGATAATGGAAAGGTCGACAAAATCAGAGGGTTAGAGCCAATTTACCCAGAGCTAATAGAAAGGTCGACAAAATTAAAGGGATGGGACCAATTTACCCAGTGCTAATGGAAAGGTCGACAAAATCAGAGGGCTAGGGCCAATTTACCCAGAGATAGTGAAAAGGTCGACAAAATCAGAGGGTAAGGGCCAATTTACCTTGAGCTAATGGAAAGGCAGAGCTCCAGATAAGCTGCGTATTTGCGTGATCACGCAATACAAATAATTAAAAACTCAATGCAATTGCCCATTGCAGGGTTCAAAAACCCAATTCATTCAAAGGAAAACCCAATTATATACCAAAACCATGAGTTCTTAACGCTTTTATTCGCTATCGTTTGCGTTATTTACCCTTATCTGATTACAGTCGTCGCGTAAATCTATTTTTATAATATTTATAATTGGAAATGTCCTTTCGTTCTTAAAATAGAGCCCTGCATCAAGTAGCTGAAATGGGTCCCTGTTGGAATTTTCCGTTGCTCAAAAGGTACACGTGTTTGTGAAAACATTTCGATCTTCTCGGCGTTTATCCAATTAGCGTTTGTCTTGTTGTCATATTTTTTTTCGAATTGCTCGGGATTTATCATAACTTACAATGAATTAAAACGAAAGTAAATATCCGATAAAAATATTGAATAGAAGCATGTTTTCAGCTTCTTTTTGATACTTTAGGGAAAGTTATTATGATGATAACAAGACCCGTTTGCGTACCTTAACGAGAACATTGCTAGAACTATAAACACGGGGTTTTGTCAAGAACGAAATCAGTTGGAAAAAGTGAAAGGCCAAATCAATTATGACATGATATATGTAGTTGGAAAGCATCAAAACTAAAAGTTCTAATCAGCTGGGACAACTTAACCCAGATTTATGTAAATTAAATTAAACAAAAACATTCAAGTATAATTTTAGTTTATATATTATTTTTTTCATTTTAGTTGATGAGTGAATACACATATCCGTTTTTTACGTCAATGCATCTTGACACTTTCTTTGTTTTGGTCTTATTGTTCTGTATGCTTATGATAGTTGTCCTATTGGCAAGTGCAGTTTAACATTGTCATTTATTTATTTGATGTTGCAGAATTATTTGTAAATTTAACACTGTAAATTTAAGTTGAATGTGGTCTCCGTCATTAAACCTATAAACCTGGTCAAGGTTTTGGGGTATATCTTAAATCTGGGAACTACTTATTATTTTTATTAAAAAGTAGATCTAGCAAATAGGTGAAAGGACTGGCAAAACTTTCTTACAGCACCTAAATTTCACATATATTACATAAAAATCTAAACACTTAGCCACACTTACCCCAACTAAACTGTAGGGTGATCATATGGGATCTAGAAAGGTAATAAGTAACTGTCCAACTAGTGACACCAACTAAACTGTAGGGTGATCATATGGGATCTAGAAAGGTAATAAGTAACTGTCCAACTAGTTACCCCAACTAAACTGTAGGGTGATCATATGGGATCTAGAAAGGTAATAAGTAACTGTCCAACTAGTGACACCAACTAAACTGTAGGGTGATCATATGGGATCTAGAAAGGTAATAAGTAACTGTCCAACTAGTTACCCCAACTAAACTGTAGGGTGATCATATGGGATCTAGAAAGGTAATAAGTAACTGTCCAACTAGTGACACCAACTAAACTGTAGGGTGATCATATGGGATCTAGAAAGGTAATAAGTAACTGTCCAACTAGTTACCCCAACTAAACTGTAGGGTGATCATATGGGATCTAGAAAGGTAATAAGTAACTGTCCAACTAGTTACCCCAACTAAACTGTAGGGTGATCATATGGGATCTAGAAAGGTAATAAGTAACTGTCCAACTAGTTACCCCAACTAAACTGTAGGGTGATCATATGGGATCTAGAAAGGTAATAAGTAACTGTCCAACTAGTGACACCAACTAAACTGTAGGGTGATCATATGGGATCTAGAAAGGTAATAAGTAACTGTCCAACTAGTTACCCCAACTAAACTGTAGGGTGATCATATGGGATCTAGAAAGGTAATAAGTAACTGTCCAACTAGTTACCCCAACTAAACTGTAGGGTGATCATATGGGATCTAGAAAGGTAATAAGTAACTGTCCAACTAGTGACCCCAACTAAACTGTAGGGTGATCATATGGGATCTAGAAAGGTAATAAGTAACTGTCCAACTAGTTACCCCAACTAAACTGTAGGGTGATCATATGGGATCTAGAAAGGTAATAAGTAACTGTCCAACTAGTTACCCCAACTAAACTGTAGGGTGATCATATGGGATCTAGAAAGGTAATAAGTAACTGTCCAACTAGTTACCCCAACTTAACTGTAGGGTGATCATATGGGATCTAGAAAGGTAATAAGTAACTGTCCTACTAGTTACCCCAACTAAACTGTAGGGTGATCATATGGGATCTAGAAAGGTAATAAGTAACTGTCCTACTAGTTACCCCAACTAAACTGTAGGGTGATCATATGGGATCTAGAAAGGTAATAAGTAACTGTCCAACTAGTTACCCCAACTTAACTGTAGAGTGATCATATGGGATCTAGAAAGGTAATAAGTAACTGTCCAACTAGTTACCCCAACTAAACTGTAGGGTGATCATATGGGATCTAGAAAGGTAATAAGTAACTGTCCAACTAGTTACCCCAACTAAACTGTAGGGTGATCATATTGGATCTAGAAAGGTAATAAGTAACTGTCCTACTAGTGACACCAGCTGCAGTTTATATAAGATGTGAGAAAATACAAAACTGGCAGAACGTTTAAAATCGGACACAAATTAAACGTACAGTTCCTCGTCAGTGATTAAACCAAATAAAACAGCTAGCATATATACAAAGAAAGAAACACATTTAAGATGGAAAAACATCTGCATGGGGTTGATATAATGTGATTATAACATGCCTAAACATTCAATATTGTGTTGATGAAAAAACCCAATACATTAAGGAGCTTGGTGGTGAAAAACCCAATTTGATATTTGCTTGAGGGGTGAATTGGAATTGATAATGCAATTTAAAAACTTTATAACCCAATTACATAAAAAATTGGTGGGTAAAAACCCCAATTTGTGAATTCTTATCTGGAGCTCTGGGAAAGGTCGACAAAATTAAAGGGGTAGGACCATTTAACCTAGTGCTAATGGAAAGGTCGACAAAATTAAAGGGGAAGGACCAATTTGACCAGGGATAATAGAAATGTCGACAAAATTAAAGGGGTAGGGCCAATTTGACCAGGGATAATGGAAAGGTCGACAAAATTAAAGGGGTAGGTCTAATTTAAACAGATATTGGAAAGGTCGACAAAATCAGAGGGTTAGGGCAAATTTACCATGATCTAATGGAAAGGTCGACAAAATTAAAGGGTAGGGTCAGTTTACCTAGTGCTAATGGAAAGGTCGACAAAATTAAAGGGGTAGGACCATTTTGACCAGGGATAATGGAAAGGTCGACAAAATTAAAGGGCTAGGGCCAATTTAAACAGAGATAATGGAAAGGTCGACAAAATCAAAGGGTTAAGGCCAATTTACCCAAAGATAA